ATTGGATGTGAGAAGAACTACGTCGAAAAAAGTTATAAAAATTCAGAGCTTACGTAACTCCATTGTTAAGTAAGCGCAAAAAGGGCAAAAACGAAAAAAAGTCGAGGGAGCAGATTTCATGAAACTTCTCGGAAAACCCTGTTCCGCGCTGAGAAGTGGGCGGGGATAAGGGGAATGTGTGAAAAAGGTTACGCGACTGCTTGAACTCCTGTGGATCATTCTGATCCACAGAAGAAACTCTGCAGAGAGCTAGGAGACAGCGGCTGCCAAAGCATCGAAAGGTGGAAAGGACATGTGGCGAGTTAGGGATGGGATTCTTCAAAGAGAGAGGATCCTGTGGATGGGCCGAGAGAATGTAGATAAAGTGAATGTGTTTATTGTATTGCGTTTGTAGGCCGCGAGTGGATGTGAAAAAGACCGTGTCGAAAGATGTTGATGTTGTGAAACTTCGAAATTACAACGACATCCCTAGAAAGTGGCAGTCGAACTCACGTCGGCAGATCATTTCTTTTCAGTGCATGTGCTTTTGCGAAATAGCAAAGTTGCAAATAAGTTGCAGAAGTAGAAGTTGTAAAACAAAATTCCAAAAATCATGGCCATACTGAGAAAAGGGCGTGGCTGAAGGAAGTGGTGTCCATTACACTCAACCGTCCGGTGTGGAACGTAAGTTGAATCTAGCTCGAAAAGTGGTGGTCATGGTCCGAAAAGTTCGAGATTTAGTTCCAATTGTAGAATTAGGAAAAAGCACTACTCTGTGGGATTCCAGATTGTGATCGGAATTTTTTCGTGTATATTTTCTTGACTAGGATTGTTCTGAGGAGCATTTCGACCTCTGAACAAGAATATCACTCTGGCTCGGAATGAAAACACCTAGTAAATGCGCTACGAGCGCCTTGACCAGGATTATCTGTAGTGCTGGCGTCCGAACTGCGGACTAGGGTCGAGCATACGTCGCATCCACGAAGGTGAAGTCGTACATGACGTGCTTCGGAGGGGGGGGGGCGGGGTCGTAGTTGCAGTGAACAGTACTCAACACAGTGACTTGCAATAGGCTGCGTTTATACTTTGCGGCAGCGTAGCGTAGCGCTTCCAGCGTACGCCAGCGGCAGTGCCGGGGAGAGGATGCATATCGATCTAGCGTCACCAGCGTCACGCTAGCGGCTACGCGAGCCACGCTATCGCGTACGCCAGCGTTTCTCCAGCGTTTCACCAGCGTTTTGCTAGCGTTTGCAGGGAGTAGAGACTATGGGAGAGCTGGAGGGTACAAAACACATCGATTGCGCGTCTCTCACTCGCCCTTAGTCTCTACAATACACATCGCTTCTGCGTCTCCGACGGCCGCATATAGTCTCTACTATACACATCGATTACGCGCTCTCTCCACTCGCCCTTTGAGTCTCACAATACATCGCTTCTGCGTCCTCCTGACCTGGCCATATTAGTCTCTACAATACACGTCGATTCCGCGTCTCTCACGGCCACATAGTCCCTACTCCCTGCCGCTGCAAGCGCTAGTAAAACGCTGGTGCCGCTGGAGAAAACGGCCCTCGAGAAAACGCGGTGTTGAAGCTGGTCGATAGCGTATGCTTCCCGTGCCCTCGCTACGCCAGCGTGCCGCTGGTGACGCTGGTGAAGCTAGATCGATATGCATCCTCTCTTCGGCACTGCCGCTGGCGTACGCTGGAAGCGCTACGCTACGCTGCGCTACGCTACGCTACGCTGCCGCAAAGTATAAACGCAGCCATATGGGTGATGCGTCCGGAAATGAAGTCGATGACAAGGCCTTTTCCATGAAAGTGCTAATCAGCACCTCTGCTTGCAGTTCCTATTCGTCACGTGAGGAGAGGGTGTAGGGAAAGATGACCGAGCCTTCTAGATATTATGTGGGCCAGTTCACTCGATGATGCTCCATCTAGAAAGAAAAAGCATCCTGTACCTGCATGCTTATGAATCGTCCGTTCTAGTGTTTTGTTGATGAAGTTGGACCTTGAATGTAAAAAAAAGAACTTGAAGTTCGTCAAAAAGCTCCACAAGTTGTTATCTTGGCCAGAAGCCTCGCACTGCAACTTCGATGAAAAGATGTAGTGCACGTCCCCTATATGATCGTCCTGCCCTTGAATGAGTCGTTGCTTACTGTCTGCTACTTGGAAATGTATTTTGAAGTGAGTTACAGCCTTTTCGAAGAATACTATGTGAATGCAATGGGCGCTCCAGTCTTAATACGCAAAGCAGCCGCGGCGCACTCAACGGCGCTTCTATTTTAGACGACGTCACTGTGGGGTTTTTTTCAAAGTTTCCACTAAGGGCATAACATTACTTCCGAGAAACTAAGATC